TCAATCATTTCTCTTCTCATAGCTCCACTGTCACGTATTCACAACCACACAGGATAAGTATTCTTGCAATTTCTTGGAAAAATCTCCCGTCGAACGACGAAATATATACAAAGCTCTACAAGAACAGGTGAACTAGTAAACGCATAACAGACGTGTATTGATGAAGAAATATTTTTTTAAAGCCTCAGGTTTTCATTTTATCTTAACTTCAATCACTCACAACCACTTAAAAAAATTAGTCAAAGCTTAGTGATTCTTATTTACTGAATACCATAATGATCATACCATAATTGAAAAGCTTTGTCACTCAGATTTACGTGTATGTGAAAGAACTCAAATACTTCGAACAGAAAACTATTGAGGCACACTTACAGTATAGAATAGTATAAGCGTCCACAAAATTGTTTAGATATGATAGAGAAGATTTGTAGCTCAGGTGGATGATTTTGATATGGTTGTGTTCTCTGAGCTGGATAGTTAATTTGCGAAGCTTTTATCACCCTACTAGGTGACATCTTCAGCGCATACTTCAATTTGAAGTGAGCTTTTAGATTTCTCCACGAGTTTATTATTCATCTCTCCTGGTGACCTTGGACTTGATTGGTTGTTTATGTTCGTATCTTCGTATCCACGAACATAAGCTAGCTGTCAAAAGACATGATATCCACTCCCTCATATCACTACATACAGACAACCACGGACATCAATTCGACTGGGACAGTGTTCAAATATTAGACACAGGAAACAACAAGAATGCTAGAGAATTTTTAGAAGCTTGCCATTTCAGTGAATCATCAATCAATAGACACATCGAGATTGACAAAATTTATCAACCGATAAGAAAGAAACCTCACACACAAAGGGTCCAAGTTGAAGTCAAAGAAACAATCAGTTCAAATACAAGTAACCTAGAAGGTGTGGAAACACACAAAAACAACCAATCACACCCAAGGTCACCAGGAGAGATGATTAATAAACTCGTGGAGAAATCTGAAAGCTCACTTCAAATTGAAGTATGCACTGAAGATGTTGCCTAGTAGAGTGATGAAAGCTTCGCAAATTAACCATCCAGCTCAGAGAACACAACCATATCACAAAATTGTTTGTCTTCCCTCCTAACCCCGCCTCCAGGCTGAAATAAGTGAAGAGGGATTCGAAGTTGGACCTCAGACACTGGCTGAAGGAGTCAAGTAAGCCACACCTCTACACTCTGTATACATAAATTCAGTTATAAGCTAAGCACTCACAACAGCTTACGTACAATAAAAAGAATATATGCCTAATGAGATTACAATACTTGAACAGTTTGAATTAACTATCGTCTTACAACACTTACTCCTACTATTATTATTACTTTTAGTACTAATAGTAGATTCGTTTTGTGTAAAAAAAATAGAACAAAGTTACTCCTTCTTGATCGCTTTTGTTGCATAATCACACTCCGATAGAATGTAACAAAATAATTAGGCGAAAAAAAACAAACGAACAGTTTCAACGAAATGAAATAAAATAAAAATGAAAGAAAAGATTATGTGAATAGTCTAAAACAATGTGTAAATATTTCTTTTCAAATTAGGTTGAAAATGAGTCACATAATTGTTATTATATATATATATATATATATATATTGTAAAACAAGTTTTGCATTTAATTAAAAATGTATATTTTCAAATGTTGGTTTACAGGGATTAGATTGACTTCACCTTCGATTACAAACTGATTTCACGATTAAAGAACGGTGTCGTTCTAGTTTGACTGAGAAGTAATTTGGAAACTACTTCTTTTCAAGTATTGGTTTTGTAGGGATTTTGTTTGATTGCATGGAGGATTTCATCATGAGCTAACATCAGTTAGAAGTTAGAATTCAAGGACCATTGGATCGGGTCCTAGTGGCTCAATGGTCTACAAGCTCGCCTTGTAACCAGAAGGTCCTAGGTGCGAATCCCGGTAGGTGCGTACTGATGAAGAGTCCCAAACTACGACAACAGAAACAGCTGTCCAGTACTCCCTGCAGGTTTTCCAATCGTTCTCTAACTGATGTCAGCTCATGATGAAATCTTCCATGCAATCAAACTACTTCTTTGTCAAATTCATTCAACAGCTGGGTGTATGACAATGTCAAGTGATTCACAACGGAAAATTCAGAGAGGTGTTCGAAGTGCATACAAGAGTAAGGCAAAACTGACTGCCTATATTCACCCAGGATGATATTCTTAATTGTCGTGAACTGGATTATGCATTAGACTGTTGAGGGCGAGGAGTCAGGAATACGCTGGACGACCGATAAGAAGACTCTAGAAGATCTGGATTTCGCAGATGACATATGTCTAATGCCACGCAAACACGAAGGCTTGCAAGCGAAAACCAATAAACTGGCTGAAAAAGCAGCCAGTGAGGACAAGACTGCAGGTGGAGAAGACAGAGATGATGAAGATAATCAAAGAACCAAAACAACAACAACTAGCACCAATCACCATCAACGGGAGAGATTTAACAGAAGTTACCTCCTACACTTATCTAGGAAGCATTGTTCCAACTACAGGCGCATGGCACGGACGAAGATGTCAAAGAACGGCGAGTATCGGAAAGGCAAGATACACTTTCATCAACCTGAACGCCGTTTGCAAATCTTCTGAACTCAGCCAGCATAAAGAACAAGATTTGGATTTTCGACACAAATATGAAATCAGTCAGTGTTTCTATGCGGGTCAGAAACTTGGCCAGCACTTCCAACAGCCAGCTGCAAACTTTTATCGACAGCTGCCTTTGCTGGCTCCCTACCGAAGATCAGATGACTCAGAGAACAGATCAACAAAGAGCCAATTGCTCAACAAATATATGGAAGAAAGTGGAGATGGATCGGGCATACATTGAGGAGGCCGCCGAATGACATAGCACGCCAGGCCACCGAGTGGAATATATATGGGAAGCGGCGACGAGTTGGTCGTTGGTTTGAAGGTGACATGGAGGAGATCGTGTGAGGAAGAGGTGAGAGATTGTCGGCAATTGTGGACCCAGCTGAAGAGGATGGCAGAAAACAGTACAAAGTGGAGATGTGTTGTTGAAGTCCTATGTTCCACTCGGAACGCAAGGGAATAATAATAATGAATAATAATCGTCCTAGTTTCGGACTCTTCATTGCCACGCACCAATGATGCTAAAAAGGTCATCGGTCATTCGAATCCCTGTAAATAAACGCTTCGAAATCAATTTAATGTTCATTACTGACTGACAGACTAACTACCAGTTGAAGTTAATTGAAGTCCCAGTGAAAAGTCGTGACCAGTGGGGTTTACTAAATTTTATTATTAGAATAGATATTCTTTGGTGACATTGGCTAGTGGCCGCGTTATATATACATAGCGAAATGTCACTGGGGAAAAGTTAAGCTATCAGAGCCAAAATCCCATTGACCTTGGACAACCAATCAGAATTCAGATACAAAAATAATCACATAATCGTTGAAAAATACATTCAAAAATATTGCAAACTTGATGTTACACTGTATAGTTGCAGCTTATGTGTTGTAAGAATGTTTCACAGCCAATACACAGATGATCTACAGGGAAATCGTACCATGCGTGATATACCTATTCATACAGGTGACTGTAGGTCATGGTACTTTGAAATTCAATGGTATTTGTGACACAATTCTCCAACCCACTCCTAACCTTAAATGTAACCCTAAACCTAACCTTAACCCTAGACTCTAACCCTTAATCTTAAAAGCCATAACCCTACCTGACAGTATAGTTTTAAAGAGAAAATACCTAAGGAATTATAAGTAGAATACTGTATCTAGTCTTGCCAAATTCAAAAAGGCAGGCATCATTTAATTTGAAATGACATTTCATAACATTCCTTGTGTCTAGTCGGTTCTTGAAGGTCAACTTTTGAAAGACTTTAACTTTGGCTATGATACTTTAACTTCGTCGTCACTGGATTGAATACCAGTAGTGGCTGAATGGTCAACAGATACACTTCGTAAGCTAAAGATCCTGTATTCAGGATGCAATGGAGTCATGGGTCAGTACTACTGAAGAGCCCCGAACTAGGATGAAATAGTTATCTAGCACTCCCCGGTTTCCATCGACTTTCTAATTGAAGTCCGTTCTTTGATAATTGATTTTGTATATTTAATTACTGAAACCGTGAATACTACTGATTGACTAATATGAGTAGTTGGGAACCAGTTGCGCGAAGCATTAGTGATTTTGACAGTTAAATCGAAGTGATCAAACTACTGAATGACCCTTAAAAGTTTGTTTGGGGTCCAACCTCGTTAACGTTGCATCATAAATGACTGAGCTTAAAGAACTGAGGCTCAGTGATGAAGCTTCAACAATCAGAAATCAAAGTTTAGAGAGAAAACAAAGCAATTATACTTCTCACAAATTAATTATTTAAGGGGCTTTCAACACATCATGTAATATTCAGGAAGAGAGGAAACGAAGAAAGCCTAGTACAACTGCAAATGATTACAATCCTCAAAAATATGTAATAACATCTCGACTCAATAATTCGCATCATCTATTCTACTCCACCCAAGGAGTTGTGATGCACCTACCTCAAACACCCCGTCTTAAGTCTATCAAAGAGTGGGCAGTATGGGAGCCGTTGAAGGGACATCTGTATTAGATGTGCGAGCGGAAAAACTCCTTGTCTCAAAATGACGTCACTGAGAGAAGATCTTCACGAATGTCGAAACACACGCTGTCAGACCTCAGAATTACTTTGATAACGAGGTCATCAGATGCAAGCAGTTCTACGGAGGTCACGACAGAAAAACATGCAGAGAAGAGAGTCACAACACATCCTCGGTTCTGAGAAGCTAAATTCCACAGGTGCAATGAAGCAATGAAAATTTAAACTTTAACAGCGGTTAGGCTAACGTAGGGCGATGGTATCAGTGGTCTCTCAGGCTGGCGTATGATATCATCACAATATTATTTCTATTATAAATAATCACTGTAAACACAGACGAACACATTGAAACTTACGGTAAATAAAAAGTTTCGTTGATATTTCTATTTTCATTTTGTGTAATTTTATCCAATGAAGTATGACTACCATTATGAATCGGTGCAATGACGATTGTACATCCGCCAACTTTAGACGGTGACGTTGCTGATATCGTTGTTGTAGTAGTCGTTGAACGATTACATGTATCATTCGTTGTAGATGAAATAAAAGGTTGAGCATATTCACGTGAATTCGTATTTACAACACTCCCATCAACCGAATGTTTACCATCCTGCATATACAAATAAACAAACAAAACAATAAGAAGTAACAAATAGAGTTCGTATAATAAGAGCAATGGGATCATTGAGATCCAGTTCAATTAATGAAGAGAAAAATTTACAAGATAAGGAAAATTAACAATGAACTAAAGGTTAATCTTGATCAATTTTCAAACGATAATAAGAAATTGTTAAGTATCAGTTTGCAGTGATTTGATTGGTTACAGGTGTGCAGATCACGAGCTGATATCATTGGAGAGAGAATCATTGGAAACCCATTAAGAGGTACTGGACAACTGTTTCTTTCTAGTGATGGGGACTCTTCATCATTACGCAACCTTTTCCGGGGTTCGAACCCACAACCTTCCAGGTACAAGGTAAACTAGCTCGTAGACTATTCAAGTCACTGGACCCCATTTAAAGGTCAGCCCATGAATTCTAACTTCTACCAATACGTGATTTTACCGCGACTGGCACCAGCCTGTGTCATCGACGGTGAGTATATATCATCATTCCCGACCTAGTGGTGGACCCCACTAACCACGAATTCTGACGAGAACTCTAGGCAACTTTGTCTTGCGGTTAGCTACTAGTCAAAGTATCATATTCTGCTCTCTCTCTCTCCCAACCGACAGCTGCTACCTTGACGTGATGGTCGGGTTTGCACATCGCGATGACCCGAAAACCTACACTGGCTGGAACCAATGTTCCTGTAGGTCCTACCATGCCAGTAAGGTAGTTAGGATAGCGACAAAAAGCAGTTACCGGCATTGAGTAAGAATCTTTCTTATACTATGATGGAGGTCTGTGGGCGAAGTCGTACTGCTGGGGAACAGGGGTGTAACAGCAGTGAGGTGTTTCCCTGAGATGATCAGCATGTCAGCCACTCTGGAAAGAGGGGATTAGAAAAGGTCAACCCCCAAAATTGTACATCCCGACTTACCCCAAGGTGGTCCGTAACCTGCGGTAAGTTTACTATTACGGAACCAAACCAAGAAACCAGTTCATACAGGCCGTGTGTGACCGGCCAGCATCAAGCAGTTGTCCCATGGGCTCTGCGGTCACACAACACTAACCCTCTCTATGTTTCAGGTACCCGAAGGATTAGGCAACTTCCACGGTGTGGGCAACCAGGAAGTAACAACCGCCCACACACTTCCGAAAGCACACGAAGCCTTTCTGAGCATCATTCTCCATTACCCACAACACACACACTCTCTCTCTCTCGCTAATACACCAGATTTCCTATCTTGTTCTTTCAGTGACAGACAGTAGCATGACACGAACAGTGTAACATATTTTAAATTGTCCTCGAGGAAATATATTGATAAAGACTTGTAACTGAACATTTAATCTATCAAAACTTATATACATACATATATATATATATATATATATATATATATATCGACGTTGAATGATATGCTTAAATAATGAATAATAAAACACACAAGATTATTCCAGGACAAACAAAAAAATTCGATTCATTCACCTTAAAAACAATTAAAGGCTCGAATTTCATCAAATACCCAAGTAGTAATCTAATAATTCTATGATAAATTACAAATTGGAATAAGGCAGGTAGTTATTACTATTAGACAGGAAATGCGAAGAATTCACTGGCAATTCATCAATAGAAGGTAAACCCATTTGAATATATATTCTAATCATTATTATTGTTATTATTAGTCCTGTAGTAGATAACATCGCTTAGATAATTTTTCTACTTAAACCAGAGAACTCGTAGAAGTGTAATACTCCGATCGGCCTTCATTTAACCAGACATGTTGGCATAGATCGAAACCAAATAAGTCACATTTGGAAAAACAATTAAATATACCAGGTCAACAAGACTAATCAATACTTATATACAAATTAACACAAAAGAGTTGTAAGAGAAATATATTCAGAAGATAAACAATTAAAATCAAGGCAATCAGGAGAGATGGTTATATCATGTGTGAACAAACCTCCCAGAAAACGTCCACTTTACACTGAAGTAAGCTCTGAAAACGCTGTCTACAGGGACAATAAAGGCTTCACAATTAAACGCTCTAGAGCAAAAAACACAACCACATTAATACATCCACCTAAGTTATAAATCTTCTCTATTATTTCGAAGCTAATCAGTGAATACTACCACAGAATTATAGAGAACGATGTTCAGTAGAGAGCGTAATCATGAAAAAATTTAGAAACAAATATACAGTCTGAATGTCAAATAAGCGGTAAGTGAAATGTGAGGTATGCACTGTGTTCAGGAGTCTCAAACTAGAAAGGAAATATTGATATAAGAATAAAATCTGTGCACTTCGGTAGAGTATAATTCCATTATGGCCAAAATTTGTTTTGATAAAGTCACACAGTGTTGTTATACAGTAAGCAATATTTACTAATGACCACGTTTCGAGAACAATTTATTGCTCATAGTCATATCAAGGTACTCACACAACTTGATTGGTAGTAGTATTTTCCATATTTCCTGTAGGAGTGATGAGTCATTCATATTGCATGTGTTGGATGTAGAACAAAGATGAACAGGGATTCAGTAATCAATCACATCTCTCTTCACGTACCTAGATTACTTTTTAGAAAGAAAAAGGTGAACTGCAGACTAGCGTCTATAAAAAGCCAAAGCATTCTAATAGATATTTAGACTTCAATTTATCTCATCCGTTATTTGTAAAGACGGAGTAATAGCACCAAGTAGCGCAAAAAATAGACCTAAGCGATGAAATGAAACAGATAGAAGAAGCGCTGGTATCAAATAACTATCCTATAAAATTCATTAGGAAGATCAGAAAAGGTCAAGAGTAAAATGAAAATAATGGTGAAACTAATAATGACAGCATAAATAGCAAAGAATATAAGGCATCTACAGTTTTACCATATAAGGAGGGGACATCTGAGACCTTACGTAGGATTTTTAATAAAACAGGAATCAGAGTGGCATTTAAACCTACAAACTCACTCAGGGACAAGCTCTGCAGGTTAAAGGATCCAGTGGACCCAATTAGACAAAATAATATAATTTACAAAATACCTTGCAATGACTGTGAGGTCAACTACATAGATCAAACTAGTAGACCCGGTCAGTAGTGAGACTATCAGAACATAAGAATTTAGCTCAGGTTAGAATAGTTGACCCCGAGAAGATAAGTAATTTAGAAGAAAGCTCAGCACTACATTGCACTGCATGCATTAACACACAACCACACAATAGGGTGGAACAGAGTCAAAATTCTGAAAAGTAATATAGGCAGGTAGACAGAGAGAGATTGATTACTTACTGAATCCCTGTTAATCGAGTCTACACCCAACACATGCAATAGAAATGACTCATCACTCATACCGGAAATATGGAAAGTACTACTACCAATTAAGTCAAGTGATGAAAAATAATGGAATTATATAAACGAAGCCAGAAAGTTGTGTGAGTAGTGTCTTGATATGACTATGAGCAATAAATTGTGCTTGAAACGTGGTTATCAGTAAATATTAATTACTGTATAACAACACTGTGAGACTTTATCAAAACAAATTTTACCCATAATAGGAAGGAAACAGTTGTCCAGTGCTTCCTGATTTTTAAAGATTTTTGATGCTGGCTCATCCCAAAATCCACATTGAAATAAGTTAGAATCAAGTTATTCTGAGTTGTATAAAGCTGTGAGATAGATAAACCAAGGATTCAGTTACCCGCACTGGCATCGATTTTTTCAAGCAACCAAACTATAAATCACACATGTTAATCTCACCGTGTGACTACTCAAAACTTCTAACTAAATTAAGTGCAGCAGGATTCGGAGCCACTGATAATAAGTCGGGTGCGTAAGCCAACGAACTACATTACCTCATCAGCAGAAAGTAGGGATAAAAAAATTTTCTAAAGTTTGGTTTGGGACCCAGTGGCTGAATGGTATACGAGCTTGCCTTGTAACCGGAAGGTCCTGGGTTCGAATCGCAGTGGGTGCGTACTGCCGATGATTCCCAAACTAGGATGAAACAGCTGTCTAGTACTGTCTAGTTTTTAATGGTTCTTTAACTGATATCAATCCGTGGTCAAACTCGTAAAAACATAAAAAAATTTACCAGTGTTATTCTTACCGACTTTCTGTCATTCAATTTATAGTCTGTAACAATCAGCAATTCAGAACAAAAGTTAATCTCTGTTAAACTTATCGCTTCTGAAACTTGAAACAAGCTGAGATAATTTTGATAGGTGGATATGCATATGTAACGCCTTTGAATTACTTAAATCGATAAAGACTTCTTTCTTTACCTCAATAGCTTGCTTCCACTCTTATCTAAAACTGTACACTTAAACTTTATACAAGACCATGTCGTTTTACACTCCATCGGTCTTTAGTACCAAGAAGAACGTTGAAATTATTTAAAATTAAATAGATACATGTAGAGTCTTTCACTGATCTTCTTTTTTCATGATTTTTGTGAAGGCTGATTAACTGCCCGCACATCCAAACCGAACCAATGGTTGCCTTAAGGGATTACCCACCTAGGGCTTTTAACTTAAAGTCTAATCGATAAGGTATTTGAGCAGCGTTAGAAACTCCATTCTCCTAGCAGCCAGTTAGGTTACCAGAGCACATTTTTCGGATTCCAGAGCATCACATGTTTGGAATTGGAGTCTTCCAACTCCTCATATTTAACAGTTCAGTGACAAACATTTGTATAAGTCTTTTTATTTTGTAAAAACAACCCCACAAACCACGTGAAGGTGATGAACATATGGCCACATGAGTGCATTTCGAGGGGATAATCTGAGCCTATCAACACATTCAGTAGTAGCAGGTCTTAAAACAGACAGATAAAAGATCTAATTTAGCCACACAGCTTAAACAAATCATCTAACAGCTCTCAAAAACTTCATAAAAAGTTTCCTTTGGTTCATAATATCTAAAAACAGAACTGCAATCTGTGACGGAGAGTTAGATTCGTTTGAAATTTAAAAACAAAAATTAATCTCGAAGCAATTTGGTAAATGGTGACTAGCAGTGCGATCCACCAGGATGCCTATTTCACCTTCCTATTCGGGACTACTCGTCAACTGGATATACATGCGTTCCCCAGTGAGTGGATGATGGTGTTCCCAGTGAGCCTAGAACTCATTCACTACCCACAGTTTCAAACGCCAAAACCTTATCCACTAAACCAGATGGGCCACGACAGCCACCTATTTCTTGTGCAATGGATATCAGTAATTATTTAATTCCATTTGGACTTCCCCATTGATTGACCGAATCCCGAATTGGACGAAATGCGCATTATAGGTTCCACCACTAGTATACAGTACACTAATTTACTTCAGATTTTAAACAAAGCAACAACTACAGATTTTGCAGAATAAAATGGTACCATATTTTATTTCGTCGCCTTCTCTTCAGCTGCTTACAGGGCTTTGTTGCTTTGTTTAAATTCATTAAGGGGAACAAATGTATGAAATTACTTCAGATTAAAATCCTCAGACATCATCGAAGCATCCGCGCACAAGGACCAAACGTGTCAACCTGAGACCGAGCACTTCAATTCAATCAATCAGCGAGAAAGTTTAATTTAAATTAAATAATACACAAACTCCGGTGGGTGCGTACTTATGAAGAGTCCAAAACTAGGACAACGGAAACAGCTGTCCAGTACTCCTTGCAGGTTTTCCAATGGTTCTCGAACTGATGTCAGTTCATGATGAAATCCTCCAACCAATCAAATAAACATCAGTCTTATTAAGCCTGCTTAAATCTTGAGCTACTAAAAACTTTCATCTTGCTATTGTATATACTTTCCTTCGTTCAATTTGTTTTAATCGATTAAGATATAACCTCGAATGGTATTATCTACTCTTGTGGGTATTTAAAATGTTTACAAGCTTCTGTTCCACACATTCCTACCAAACTTCGAGAAAGGTCTGATTGTGGGAGTGGCAACTTGTTTCAATATATGAGATAACTGTTCTTCAGTTATGTCCTTGAATCTCAGAATGTACTTCTGAACATCTTACAATTGGCTTTGAACTAGATATCGTGGATTTTTCAAGTATTGGTTTATGTAGGGCTTTAGTCTGATTGGTTGGAGGATTTCATCATGAGCTGACATCGTCTAGAGAACCACTGGAAAACCTGGGAGTACTGGACAGCTGTTTCCGTTGTCCTAGTTTGGGACTCTTCATCAGTACGCAACCACCACAGGGCTCGAACCCAGGACCTTCTGGTTACAAGGCAAGCAAGCTCGTAGACCATTAAGCCACTGGAACCCGATCCAATGGCCAGTCCATGAATTTTAACCTCTACCAATTCATGACATAGCGCGACCACTTCACAATGTCTTCTTCGATGAGTTACCGCCTCACCTGCTGCACCCTACTGGTTACGGCTTCCCCTTAAAACCCCAGATCACAGCCTGAATAAGGCCAGTCGTTTGTGAGCATCAGATTAATTTTCAAGTATTGGTTCTGTAGGCATTTAGTTTGATTGGTTGGAGGACTTCACCATGAGCTGGCAACAGTTAGAGAACCAATGGAAAACCTGGGATGAATTGGCATGAATTGGCAGAAGTTAGAATTCACGCGCTGGCCATTGAATCGGGACCCAGTGGCTTAATGGTCTACGGGCTCGCTGGCCTTGTAAGTAAGGGGTCCTGGGTTCGAACCCCGATAGGTGGGTGCATACTGCTGAAGAGTCCCAAACTAGGACAACGGAAACAGATGTCCAGTACTTCCTGCAGGCTTTCCAATGGTTCTCTAGATGATGTCAGCTCATGATGAAATACTCCAACCATATCGTGGATTTTTTTAAGGAGACAAAGCAGATATATCATCATAATGGAATATTGGTTTATGCTTCAGCTCAGAGACCACATTGTTTCACAGAATATACACTGTCAACTAATATTTTACTCTAGGGAAATATCATGCAATAAACTCCTCTGTAAAATTCTGTACATTTTATAAATACTGTCTAGAATAAAGATGTTATTCAAGTTACACAATCTCCTCCTTTGTAATGTGCACACAGCTCTTTCTACAGTACTTTTAAGTATCTGATTCTCATTGTATTTCATTTATTCAAGAAAATGAAAGAGGGAGCAAGGGAGAATGACAAAAATAAAAGAAGAATGTGTACACCCGGAGGCGTAAACAACAAAAACCATTAAAACGAACAAGATGATCACATGACTTCCAACATTGATTTACATCTAATCATCTATTCCATCTATTCATATTACACTGATAACTCTTGTAATCTACACAAATGATGTCATGCATTTTGTTGTTATAATTTCGTATCCCTGTTTTCTCGTTATCTATTATTCACGAATGCGGGTAGAGTATACACTTACCTCACTAGATTTACACACACACGGACACACACACACACAAACTACACAAATAGAAGTACACTGAATAGTTTACAATAATAAGTGAGTGCAAATGTGATTGACTGAACAATAAATAGAGATCAAAAAAGGATACTAGAGGTCAATTTACGTGCATAATTGTGATTAGATATGGAAATTAAATCTATATACGTAAACCAGCAAAAAAAGTGCACTGAAATATCTCGAAAAGATACTTAATAAGAGAACTTAAAAGAAATAACAACCTTGAATATATATGGTATTTGGTGTTAATCAGATCACGTTTATTAACTAGGTAAATGGGGATTGAAGTTAAAACAAAATTATTGATTTGTACTGGGAAGATTTGAAATACCGATGAAAAGCAACGATTATCTAAGATAGTCTTGATGAAAAAGCATTCGGTATTACGTAATAAAATGTAGGAGAGGATTGGTGGATGGTATGGCTAGCATCATCAACATGAAACCAATCTGGAAATCTTCGTCACTCACTCAACATCAACAACAAAATTCGGATTTTCAATACAAACGTCAAGTCAGTCAGTTCTTCTATACGGATCAGACACTTGGCGGCGGGTCACAAAGAATATTTCCAACAGCCTGTTGCAGACCTTTGTCAACAACTGTCTTCGTTCTATACTCAAGATCAGATGGCCGGAAAGAACGAGAACCAACAAGAAACTATGGGAACAAACAAAACAAGAACCAATCGCCCAACAAATATGCGGGAGGAAGTGGAGATGGATTGGACACTCGCTGAGGAGGCCGTTGGGTGACATCGCGTGTCAGGCCATAGCTCGAGTGGAACCCGAAAGGGAAGCGGCGAGTGGGACGTCCAAGAGTGACATGGAGGAGATCGTGTGAAGAAGAGTTGAAACAGTATGGACTAAGATGGATGCAAGTGAAAAGTACACCAGAAGACAGAAGCAAGTGGAGGCGTGCAGTTGAAGCCCTATGTTTCACTAAGAACCCAAGGGAACAATAATATATAATAATATAATGGCTAGCGGTGGAATCCAGGATGCACATTTTTCCTGTTTGAGACTCATTCGTCATCTGGATGTACTTGCATTATTCTCCATTTAGTGATAGTGTCCCCGCATCCATAACTTCATTGCTAGTCACTATCCGCCAATTGACTTCAAGTTGCTATGTGAACCTACAAGCTAACACTGTCTGTTAATTTTTTCTGTCTGTTTTCTATCTTACCCCTCTCCCCCCTCTCTTCTACTTTGAAAGCGTATAAATTAATCATGAGAACTTAAACTAAAAATTGTAATGCTGCTTTCATTTTGGATGTGTCAATTTTATAGTATTTCTTCTCTACTACCACTTAAACATTAAAGTCTGTTATTATCATCTATATAACCATTGTAATTTCAGGTAGGGGTGTGCGGCTGATGAGAACCTGTGAAATAGAATGACGATATCATTTTATACCTAAATCTGGTCTTTCTTTCTCTATCAAAATTTATTAAGAGAGCCAAAGGTATGAAAGAATCAGACATCATCGAAGCACCCACACGCACAAGAAGCTGACAAGTTAACCTGAAGCCCAGTAATTCGGTTCAATTAATCGATGAACGGGAAAGTTCAGATTGAATTAAATAGTAGGAAGGAATGTTTATGAAAGTGTATGGGTGGCCTTGAAATACCTTAAACGGAAATATCATTAGTACTGTGTGAATGCAGAGCCCAGAGGACAACTATGCTTGAGACAAGTCACACGTATTTAGAGTTGTCTTCATATGAAAACCTTACCGTCCATTACGGACTGTCACGGAGTAAGTCCGAATGTACATTTTCACGAACAATCTTATCGACTTCCACTTCCTCCCAGTAGGAAGGCAACATAGATGACTTACTGATCGTCCGACGAAGACACTCTACTGCTGCTATATCCCTATCCATCAGTAGTACAGCCACCTACATAGTGTGAACGACTTACACTGCGATGGTGACTGTTATCCGAATAGCACTTTTAACATAATAAGACCTTTGGAGACATTCATTCCACGAACTATCGCTTGTTGGTAGTCATTGCGATAATCAGCCTTCATTATCGCGTAAAAACAGCAGACATCAGTCGAGAGGTAGGGATACGCATAGCGTCGGTGGCACAGTGGTTAGGACTCTCGCCGACCATGCACATGGTCCGGAGTTCGATCCCCTGCCGGCGCACACCCGATATCTATGGTCGGCCTGCAAAATTTGGGCTACCGGTATCCATGCTGAGAATTCCATACTTGTACTGAAAATACGGTGTGGAATCAAGCTGTAAATCAAAAAAAAAGGTTGTAGGATCAAACACCCAGTTTCCGAACAATCAGTCACAAATTGGAAACCTGCTTTATCAAACTTTCACCTCGATAGCTGAGTAGCCTCGCGAGCTCTACTTGTGTACACAAGACAATGACACTGTTAAGAATAACTTAAGTGTAACCGTTAAATTTCAACTGTTATACAAACTGATAAAAAGAAACACTTACAGGATTTGTTAGTCTATTCAAAACAATATTGATTGTCTTTAAAAACACCGAAGCTTCTTCTTGTTCCGGGAAATGTAAACCATAAACTCTTGAAGTGATTGGATCACGCCATTCATGAAATTGTCCGTGTATTTGATATTCTAAACCAGCTTTCAGTACTGAATTAACAACAACCTGTGCAGAAGAAGAAGATGATGATGATGAAGGTTAACAGAGGACAACAATACATAAAGAAACATGGGCAACAATAACAAACAGACACCAAAGTCGAATGACGTTGAACCGACCAATCAGATCACCATTCAGCTGTAGAAATGGGTGCTGTTTGTAATATTCTTAGCAAGTTTTATCCAGACTTCTGTGTGGAAAATGGGTTGATACAGAGGATTAAAATAAGCATACGTGGTGGAGGGATAATGACTTATCAGAAGTATTGCCTGGCTATTGATGCTTATACATAGACATGCAATTACTGTTATATAAGGAAGTCTGTGAAAGTTGATAAGTCATATATTATGGTGAATATTTAGATACTTTCTCCTCGAAATCAAAACTCTTTCTTCTGTAGTAAAATGTTGCGTATATGCCACAACTGGTTACTGAGATGACCAGTAGTATCTGCTACAGCTGCGGAAATAGAATACTAAGTCAGTATCACCTCCGCCACAATACTAATCCACCAGTATTTATACATCTTTTACTGATATCATTCCGTGATCGAACTTAGAACAAATCAAATCCTTCCAAACAAACTCATTGGGAATTAATCTAATGCTCACTAGTGACTTGTTCTATGCAGGAAAGTTGCCTGGATGGAGTTCTACTAAGAAGTCGTGACCAGTGGGGTCCAACACTGGATCAGGAGTGAGAACAAATACTCGCCACCGATGACATTATCTGCTGTGTCAGTCGCACTAAAATCACCAATCACTAAAAGTTAGAACCCATAGGTTGGCCATTAAGTCATTTACCAGTGGCTAAATGGTCTACGAGCTAGCTTGACTTAGGAATAGGAAGGTCCTGAGTTCGAATCCCCTGCGAGTGAGTGTATACTTCCGATGAATTTCAAGTGTTAGGACAAAACAGCTGTTCAGTAGTACTCCCTAACAATCTTCATTAGTTCTCTAACTCATACCAATCTGTGATCAATCCTAATGAATGAATTTGGGGTTCTGAATTATCTTAATTAAATGGTCAGATGTACTGATTGTCAGATGGTAGAATGCTCCCAAGCCACACCTTAGGTCCAGATTTGATCCCCAGTTAACACACTTCTAAACTTCACCTACTTTATTAATCGCTTAGTAGTACGCCTGGAAAAGCCGGGAAGTACGACCTGGGAGCTACAATACCACTACTACTGAAACTTGAAATATTGAAGCCTTATTGTTTAATTGTTCCGAACGCAGATGGATGCAAAAAAGATACTGAAATAAAGAGACAGCAACTTTATAATCTTTCTTTTCTGTATATTATTGTTTATATATTTAGAGTAAAAACAACCTCGATTACGTAATCTATAAAAATTATTTACATTATCCAACAGATTAACTGAGATAATAGTGAATTTTAATCTAAAAAAAAATATTGTCAATAGAACACATTGACGAACAGATCAGTTATGCTGATATGGTTTTGTTTATTCAAAATGTCCGCTTCGTGGACTGCGAATCTGCGTAGGCAGACTCTGTGTGTGTGTGTGTGTGTGGAGAGAAATGTTATGTTAATATGTATCTAAAATTAAGAGTTGTAATATTCAATGTCTTAAATGTTTACAATTTATAAGTCATCCTTATTAGTTTATATTGTACCTGTGATTTCCCATTATCGATATTACTAAGTCAAACATGTACGAATCACCTTTCGGTCGGTCGATCAGTTTTCGACATAGAACTTTGCACATATGTGCGGCAGTTCAAGTCGCCACACTCCATGTAGCGCACAAAGCAAGAGAACAAAGTAGGAGGAATGCATAATAATGACAGTGAACAGAGGTATGAGACAAAGGAATAGTAATAACGGAGAACAAAACAGTTTAATTGGAAATCATAAGTCACAAGAAGTGGATGCATCTGCATCAGCCATTGAGAACGATTTTGAGCCATGTCACCAATTGTTTCCAACCATTGGTTTTTACCGTCCCGTCCAGGAAGCCAGTCTACACCTTCCTACGTGGTTTAGACTAACTGTCGTGGATTTCATTGACTGGTGCCATGTTTTCGTTTGACCGCTTGATTCTTTTTTTTTCTTTCAAATAAAAAAGAATCACCTTTAGATAGTCTTCGATTTATATTAAATCATATTTGATTGTGTATCTCAGTGATAGAGAGCTGGCCAACCATGTACGTGGTCCGGGGATCGAGTCCCAGCCAGTGCACGGCTTTACCCTCCTTAGTCAGTTATAATCTCGACATAGAGGGAAGGTTGGGCATGAGGCTAGCAACTCCAGCCTGCAAAAAAAAAGCCATTGCTACTGGAACTTCAAAGCTGAAGCTTGAAGCCTTATGTTCCACTGGGAACGCAAAGGAATAAAAAAATATTTGATTCTATACTACATAAATTTATTTGATATAACGCACAGTAATACTGAGTTAAGAACACACAAACTTAGTACAATATGAGCACCAAAAGATGCGCTACACAACATAGGCTAACTACCGCTTTGCTTTTCCCATCCCATCCTAGGGTAAACGAACAGAGACCGGTACAAAAGCCTCTGGAATGACATTCGTAGCATATGTCCAAGCCATCGATCTTTATCGAGTGTCCAAACACACGCTGCCGAACTTCAGAGTGTGCAGTTTACCTTCTTCTGTTCGTTTTATTTTACAATGTAATATAGCTAATTCTACTTTTTCATTTATCGATTAGAATGTGAATTGTATTCCCTTCGTTAGTGAGTTTTATGTACGTCAAGAAACTAGAGATATGTTCTGTTTTTAACACTGTGTGAAAGTGTCATCCACATGTATCAAGCGCAATATTTTTCCAACTGTCCATAAAGATATCTGCTACAATAGGGGATATTGGTGATACATCCCATTGCTACACTATCTGTTTGTTTACATATTTTGCCTTGGAATTTAAAGACAGTAGACGTGAGGCATGACTGAATTCATAAAATAATTTTCTCAATCGGCAGCTTTGTCCTATGACTAAGTTCGGGATCAACAGTTACTTCTCTGTTAACTGCTTCAGAAGCCATATTGATTGGCATATTAATATAAAGACTAGTTATGCTAAACGAAGCAAAAGTGTTGTGTGAGTAAGTTGCTATGATTATAAGTGGCAATAAATTTTGCTCGAAACGCCATCAGCAAATATTACTGTATAACACTGTGTGACTTTATCAAAATAAATTTTATCCATAATGGAATGCATCATAGAGATTATTTTATTTTTATGATTTATTTTATTCCTTTACATTGCCAGTGGATTTATCTTTGTTGGGTGGGGTTGCTGGCCTCACACACAGCCTTTCCTATTTACCGCTCTTACTACCTACTTGCTTAGTGAGGTTTAGGAGTACGTCGACCGAGAATCGAACCTCGGACCACGTGCGTGGTTGACCAGCGTTATACCGCTGAACCAACGACGCCGCGTCAGAGTATGCGTGTCATTGTGATAGACTTTTGAATGAGATTAACAAGAGTAGTGAACAATGATGTCTAGGAAAAGAAATTCCAACAGCCTTATTGATACAAATTTATGCTATTCAACAATGACAACATGATGACAACTTCCTGTCAAATATATATATTGAGGAAAATCACACCATATTTCTATATTTTAGCCGCATTTATGGTTGGCTAGGTCAGTAGATAATAAACTGCTCTGATAGGTTGTTAATTTTCCGAAGGTTACGTCTTGGGATTATTTCCTGACCACAACGTAAGCTAGATCCAGATTTGAGAAATAAACGTTTCCACTTTTATAGCCATTGCCTTAAAATGTTGTTTTCTGCTTTGGCTACTTCCTATCACTCTGCGTTTATATACTGCTGATAATTCTTGTCCGTAGCACACTACACACTGTTTGTCAAAAGGCATGATATATATATATATATATGGCGCTATGACTCGCTAGACCTGGCAGTCGCTGACTTTCAACAAGTCGGTTACACGTTCAAACTCCCCTAGAAGCCTACTATGGTTTGGGTGTCTAAATTCTATCACCGACCGTCATATAGTAAGGATGACCCATTATCTTGTGCATTGATATATTTGTACTTTTCGTACTAATGACTGAGCTGCAACTGTCAATTAAAGGATTCAAACAAAAAGTACTAACATAGGATCTAGTGTTACTGAGTTTAAGGCCGAGGGAAGCATATAATAATATCAAAGAAAACATTTAAATATTGATTAGTGAAAATAAGAGCAAACAAAATCGGGTGATTATATGGTATATCCCTTTTTTTAAAATGACGCCACCTTTATCCAAGTGGCTCTATAGCATACCCCAGCTAATTGTAGCGTCATAGTCCGTTGCTATGGTGATCTAGTAACAAGTTGTATTTGTTGTATGCTTTATAAATGACATTTTGCATTTTAAAAAATTGTTTTTTTGAAGGACTTATTATCGGTGGCATTACATTCTTGAACTGCATTACACATTTACTGCACTTTTATCAGAAAATATGTTGCTTCATACTGATCTGTGCACAGTGAAGTGGATCAAATGGAGGCAGTGAGTTCAAAAGTTAAACGCAGATTATTAAGTTGTTTTACTTCATGAAATCATGTTGATGTATTTTCGCCTACTTGATGAAATGTCGTAATACCTATCGGATAAAGTAGGTGGCATCAATTTAAAAAACGGATAAGTCAGATAATCTCTCTCCTTTATCCAGTGGATATTAGGGCGTTTCAATGAATAGGTCAAAATAAATAGACTAGCATGATTTCATGCAAATTCAATAATCTGCATTTAACTTTTGAACTCAACTGCCGCCCTTAATCCGGCTATCGACCAAAGAGAGTGTGTACTGCTCAGTAGTCCGCTCCGTCCTCTTATATGGCTATGAGAGAGACCTGGCCATTGAGAGTGGAAGACATGGAAAGGCCGGCTAGCTGGCGTTGATCATAGGTGCCTACCTTCTATCTCCTGTGTGAAGTGGTATAATAGGGTGAGCAACATTGAGGTTAGGCGTCGGTCGAGTGCTAGGTAAGGAG